CAATTCACTTTAATTCCTTTCGCGCAATTGTCTCCAAGCGAACACGACTTTCTCTTGTAATCGTCACTCGCTGTTATGCGTGAACAAGGAATCACCTCAAGTGAACACAACATTAGAGAGAAAAGAAGGGGAAGGGTTTAATGTTTTTTATAATAACATGTTTAACGAACAAAATCTATATACTTCTATTTTCTTCTTTCCAATCATAACACAACAAAATTCATTATCAATTCATACTCGCTATAACAATAATGTTTGTTTACATAAGAATATATGCATGAATGAGGTTATTATTATTTATTTAATATTTTATACCATTATATACTTTTAACATTTCATATGTAAATCACAATATTAAATTTTATTTGTAGTTTTTTAGAACTCAACAAATTATGATCTATGTGTTCCAAAAAGAATTAAATAGACTCTTTTAAATTATCATTTTTATTTATTACATCTACTTAAACCCAATTGTCATATATTATTTTTTATATTTAAATATATTAACAAAAGTATTTACTTCCTATACATGATGGGGAAGTTGAAACACATCCTCAACATCAATCATTATTTGATCTTCCAATTTATGAAAAAATTGATAAAGTAAATCTATGATACTTAGTTCATTTTTTTCTTTTTAACAACACACATACACGCAGACACAAGCGCACCCACACACTCATAGATACACGCATGCACCTACACACCTAAACACCTAAACACGCATGCACCCACACAAACATCTAATCACACACGCATACCTACACCACATTCAAACTCACACCCCAATATGTTTTTGCTAATGTGCTATAGTATATTTAATAGAACATAATAAGTTTAATTACTCAGATGGTCCCCACTTTGGGGGTATTGTGTCAACATGGTCCCCACTTTTAAAACAGTTTCAATTTTTTCGCCTCCAAATTTGTTAATGTGCATCAATGAAGTCCTTTTTTATTAATGCAATTTAAATCATTAGTGTTGACTGATTAGGCATGATTTCATGACAATTTATGAAAATGTCACACATAAGGATTTTCTTATGTGGAATTTGGGCTGGTAAGAATTATGCAGGCTGTATGAGACCTTCATCAGTCTGTTGTCGAGTTGTATCAGACCTTTGCCAAGATTTATGACACCTTGGTTGAGTTGTATCATATGTTGACACGGTTGTAGCGGACCTTGGTCAGGCTATATCAAAACTTGGCCGAGCTTAGCGGGCTAGGTTGTCATTCGTAGTTGTACATTTGTTGTCTCACTTGTTATACTTTAACCATGATGTTCTTTATAATTACTTGCACAAGAACTTTTTTCAATATTACAAGAACTTTTACCTAGGGTGGATCAGAGGTTCTATGTGCGACACATATGTGAAATTTTAGGAATAAATTTTTTGGCAAAAATCTGAAACATCTTTTATGGAAGGCAGCATCATCCACACACCCTTAAGCATGAGAGACAATCATGAGAGACATTAAAGAATTGAATGTAAATGCCTTTAAAAATTTGATAGTTATTTCCCCAAGGCAACTTGGGATATGCGAACAACTTATTTCCCACCATTCTTAATAGTTTTAGTCACTCTTAACACTACAACCTCCCTACAATAACAAATTGGTGTTCCACCCACTCCCTTGGATCAACCACCACGAAAGTACACGTTGTGGTTTTGTATCCCCCACGAGCAAGATGAACAACCCTGATTGTGAGACATTACACACTTCATCAAGGATCACCTATTTGGGACCAGACTTCATGAACCAACTCGCAAGAAAAGAATAACACAATGGAGATTTGGGCAAACTTCAATCGTTAGGAAAAACTTCAAACTTCTTCGTTAAAAGGACACGACAACAACATCATTTCCTCTCTACATTTACAAATTTGTACATGTATGTGTGTCCTTAGCCACATTACCACACTCTTAACGTTGTTTCTGGAAAACCAACAGCAAGGACATGATTGATGCATATTAACAAATTTGGGGACGAAATTGAATCCTTTTTAAAAGTGGAAACCAAATTGACACACTACTCCCAAAGTGGTATAAAAAGTGGCATAGTAACATAATTATACATATTGTAAGTCTTTCTATACCGAATGTAGATTCAACCTGTATGGAAAATGGCATAGTGTCAAATTTGAAATAAATTACAAAGTTTTTCTATACCGGTTGGACTTAGATTAAATGTAGAATGTGTCGCGATGACAAAACTATAATAACTTAAAGATTTTTTGTACTCATTAAACCTAAAGCTGGTATAGAAAATGACCTTTTATACCGGTTAGTCACTATAACCGGTATAAAATGTTTAATTTCCTTCTTCTACACTTCCGTGCTTCATCATTCGCTTATGCACCTCTTATTTACACCTCTTTGTCACAGTCTTCACCTCTGCTTCTCCTTCTCCCATTTGTCTCCACCTTAGCCTCCCAACTTTCATCTCGTTCTTGACTTGGCCTCCCCTTTCATCGTTCAAGGTAACACTATCGTTGTTTTCCTGCAATATCATCGTTGTGTTGTCGTTATTGTCCTTCAAGACCATCGTCGTGATCCTCCAACACCATCATCGTAGTGCCATTGTTATCTTCCAACACCATTGTCACACTGTCGTCACTCAACTCCATAGGTCGTCTTCTCAACGACATTCACCCCTTTTCCATTCTTCTCGTTCTCGTGTACTCCACAGGTGTCGTGGTGTGGTCTTGTGGTGTTGCCTTTGTTGTCCATTACCTTTGCATTTTCTTCACTAAAAAAGGTTAGCATATGAACCTAGTATCTACATTATTTTGGCATTGTTATCTCTGTTTTGGATGTTTTGGCGTTGATGCCATTATTTTGGCATTGTTGTTAATGAACCTAGTATCTATTTTTGTTCTCATAAAGTCTAAAAAAATATTCATCTTCTTAGAGAATATATAGGAAGATATTTTTCAACCATTATGAAGTGACTAAGGAGATATTCATCTTTTGAAGTCTTATGACTGTTAACTTATGAGACACATAGTTAAAAAAAAATATTTTGCATTTAGGTGTAAATGGCCAATACATTGATTAATAGTTTTTGATGTGGTTTGATGGTAGGGTTGAGTTCATAGATTGGACTGCGTGTGTGGTTGTTTCTTAGCTACACCTAAAAGTAAAGATGTTGGTTTATAAACAGAAGAATGGATCGTAGTTGAATAAATTATTTATGCACAACAAATGAGTATGAGAATGAAGTAAATATTTTTCTAGAAGTTGCAAAAATGATTATGTTTTGGATAATAACCTATTTGTGTGAATATTATGTAGGTTTGTATGTGGTAGGCATCACAGACCTATCACTGAAAAAAGGACTTTTTACATCGATTAATGTCAAAACTGGTATAAAAAGTGATTCTACATTGGTTGACTCTCCAAACGGTACAAAATGTCATACTTTTTATATCGGTTGGTTAGTGAACCAAAAAATTGAATATTTTTTATGCCTCTACTTTTATACAGAATCAAAAATCAGTATAAAAAGTTTTTTTTAACCTATATAAAAAGTATTTTCTACTATAGTAATTGAGTCCTTAATGTTTATGTACCCTTTGATATATATTTTTTTTCACCATCGTTACTATGTTATATTTAAAGTGAGGAGATATTTTAAAAATATGTTTATGTAATATAATAAATTATTGTAGATGATTTTAGCTTACCTATTTTTTATTTTTGTTTTCATCAAATGTTGTATTAGGACTCAACAAAACAATATAAATTATATTAATTACTTTAATTTGTATAAATGAATTATACAAAATTATGAAAAATAAAAACTACTAATATTTAACATCATAAATTAATTTAAAACTTATATTTTAGTTTCCCATTTTATTTTATTATTAATTGTAATTTAGTTTTATTAAAATATTTAAAATAACAAGTTACTCTTAAAAATTGAGTTAACAACAATTATATTATAAGGGGTAAAATAAAAATATGAATTGTGTGCTAAGAATCATTTTTATATATAGATATATGACTATATATAAAGAGATACTTTTTGGTGTTCTCCTTTAGTTTTTTCAATTTTACCTTTTAAATTCTACTTTTAAAATTTAAATAATTATTCATAATAAAAAATATTTTAAGTTTTATTATCTTAATTAATTTTTTTAATTCAAATAATTACTCATTATAAAATAATTATTTACCCTTTTATCATTTTAATAACTATTTTTTAAAGTTTAAATAATTACTCATAATAAAAAAATATTTATACAATATTACTTATAATATTTTTGTTTCAATAACTAAAATTTATTTTATCTATAACTAAAATTTAATTTTACATTTTTAATTACTAATTTTTTAAAATTTAAATAATTATTTATAACAATACATAAATTTCGGTTAAATATAACTTAATAAATATAAACTACATGATAGTGCTTATCGTGTGTTTACACTAGTGTTAAATAATAATTATTATATAGATGTGAAGTGATGACCCATTAATTATTATTGAAAAATATATTATTTTTATTTATTTAAATTTGATTTTTTGATTATTTAAATATTAATAAAATTCGAGTTAAAACACTAATAATAATAGTATTATTTAAAAAATATAAAAATATTTAAGATCTTTTTTAATTTAACCCATAAATAAATAAATTTGTGAATAAAATTCTTTTATAACAAAATAATATTTTCAAATCTCAATTTAATATACTTCTTTAGTTCAAAGAACTTTTATTAACAAGAAGACTTATTTGTTATAAAAAAGTAACCTTGATTAATTATTGAAAAAAAAAATTGTATTATAAATCTAATTGCTTTTATATATATTTAAATAAATTGAATCATGTACTTATTATTCATTATTGGGAAAGAAAATAGGTGTGAAAAAGATGAAGAGTGAAAGCTTCAAACATTATTTTAGAATTAAAACATAAAACACAATGAGAAAGGTAAGTGAGGAAATCAAGGAACTTGTGGGTCCTACTTTTTCTTAAACTTTTGTATTTTTCCCACAACTTTCTGTCTCTCTCTCTCTCTTCATCCTCACCTACGCTCTCCTCTCTCTTTAATTTGAATATCTTGATCAACTTGCAGACGCGCATTGTATTTTTGTTTTCCATTTATCACTGTTTGTTACAAAACCCACCAAAGCCAAAACCTTTAGCTCTCCATCTTTGATTTCATCCATTTTCTTATTCTCTAATGCCCTTTTGATCAATCCGTCATTCCAGGTCTCTCTACAACTTGATTTTAGTTTGTTCACTTCTGGGGTTCTATTATTATTGTATATTTGCTTGGGGGTTGGGTTAAGTTTTTTCTTTTCGGGGTTGTGTTTCTTTTGGGATTTTTGTTTGTGTTGGTTGTAGATCTGTTGTGGGGTTGGTTTGAAATTTTGTGAATTTGTTGGTTGAGGTTAGGGTTTCGATTGTATTAATGGATAAAACAGTTTGCTCTGTTTAAGGTTTGCGTTTGATTTGCTTTTCGGATTGCCGAGGTTGCTACCTTCTGCATGCTCAAGAGAGGGTGTATTGGAATATGTGAAATTGTGAATCTTTCAAAATAAGTGTCTCGGATTTTCTTTTGTTCATGCATGTGTTGTTGTTGGTGTTGGCTTTGCAACTAACCCGTTTTTATTCTTTAGTATGTAAGGTTTGATGTGCGTGTGATGGTTTTCATGGGAAAACACCGGCGACATTGTTGGAAGCTGAGTCTAGTTGTGCGTTACTTTTGGCGAAGTTATTCTAATTTGATTGCTAGTGGTTTGGTTCGGAATTCTGATGATGGTCGAGTACTATTTCATGGCTGCAACATTGCATTTTTTCTTTTTGCTTCTAATGCACTATGTTTCAGAGGAAAACTTTCTTCCTTCTATCAAATGCTGAGTGCCACCGCAAAAAGCTAATAAACTATTTCCTTTTTGGATTTAACTTGGGCTATAAGCTCAAGGCCATCCAAAATGCTTTCTCGGATCAAACACAAGTTACTCATTGGTCGATCATGGGAGAAGTTAGATTCGTTAAATTACCCTCTTAAACTGTAAAATAATGGGGAGCCTGAGGGATGCACACAACTCTTGTCTTAGGCAGTTATCTGCATTTGAGTGAGATCATCAGGCTGCCTAATATATATATGTGTGTGTGTATATGTATATGTGTGTGTATGCATAGAGATTATCTATGATTGGATAGAATTTCCAACGTTATCATACCTTAAACATATGATAGAACTATCTTTCATAAGAGGTTGGAATCACTTGGAGGGTAATCATATTTTGGCTAGAATACATACCGTTTGTAGTTTTTATTTTGATTACTGAGTGTTAGGTTATTAGACTGTATATATCACACTTCGATGCCAGGGAGGTAGGCACTTTTTACAGGGTACGCAGGTGTTGTATCTGAGATTGACTTTAAAAGGATGTCTCAATGTGATTTCTTTCATCAATGGACAAGAAGATAGATACAAAATTTGGATTGGTATATTAAATAAAAGATCATCTTAGAAAGCTAATGTTAATGAAGGGGACAATTTTTAATGGGTTATTTGTTTTTTGTCGGTTTATACTTGCCATCTTTTGACTATGAAAGGATGTAAATCTATTATTACTAACTTAATGCTTAAAAGTTCATCCTTTTATAGTATATTTTATAAGATTAGAACCAAAACCCACTGGTCACATGTTTGGAGTCAAATTATTGTAAACAACATAACATAATGCATCAATAAACATAATAGATGTAGGCATGAATAGAATAGGTTTCCATAATAACAAAATAATTCACTAATATAAATAATTTTTTTTCAAACCGTCTCACTACTTAAAACACAAATCATCTCTCTAAATCTATTCATCTTAGTACTCTCTCTCTCTTCATTCTAAGAAATCTCGCTCCTCAGTCATATGTTTGACGATCAGGAAGTTTTTATTTGATCACAGCTGAGCGATCCTCATTTCTAACCGATTAGTTATTGGTTTAGAGCAAGTAAGTTTCTACCTTTTTTTCCTTTTTGTTCTCTGTTTATGATCATGCTTAGGAACTTCTATGTGTCATTTATACTCTATTCTTGGTTCTTTGTCAATCTGTGGTCCTAAAGACTCACTCTGATCACAATTTGGTGATTTATAGGTGTTTTTAGAATTCCTTGAGTCATAAACAAGAGTTTCAACATTTCTTAGAGTTCAGTAACTTCGGTGAAAGGTAAAGGAAGCTAATGTTTTATCATAACTAAACTATGATGTGTGAATTGCTAATTAATGGTGTGTGTATAACTAATGTATTTTTTTGGTTGTGTTAAAGATGATTGTTATTAAGTATTGAGTGTTTGAAATGATGGAAATTGGTTCAATGATGTAGTGTATCTTACTGTTTTCGTTTGGAATTGATTAATTTCATGAATGCTTCTGATGAAATGCTTAATGATATCAATTTGTTTAGGAAGTTGAGAAGAATTTACTTGGAGAATGTTATAAGTCGTTTTTTTATAGGCAAAATGTAGGTTTGATAGGTGAATATTAGAATTACTGGTCTAAGGTGAGAATTGGTGGTTTAGATATGTTATTTTGGTCATTTGAAACTTGTTAGACTTGTAGTTGAGTAAAAATACGATGCTGAGTTGGTAAATCCACAAACAGGTTGTGTTCTAGTTGTTCTTTGGTCAATTTTAGAAGTTGAGTAGTGAACTTTCAAAGTAAGTGAATTGAGGTCAAGAGGAGTGTTTGAGGTTTGTTAGTGGTTGATTTGAGACTTGGTCAGACCTCTGAGTGTCTAAGTTATGGGATAAAAGTGGTAGATTTGAGTTATGGTTTATAGGTTGAAATTTTAATTGGCTTAAGTTAGAATTTCATTACAAAATGAGTTTAGTTTTGGTTTTAGTTGAATTATACATGCTTGGATGGGTCTAATTAGGTTTAGAATATCAAATGGAAGTTGTAGATGTTAGTTGAGCGAGTATAACCATTGAAAAAGTAAAACTATATCTAGTTGAGCGAATATAGTCACTGAGCGAGCAGAACTCTCTGTTTTTGTATTCGTAGAGCGACTCATGGTGATTGAGCGAGTGGACTGGTATGTTACAATGTGGTGGGTAATGCATGTGAACCTCCTTTATCATAAAAAATAAATTTAGATAAAGTTCAAATAAGCAAAATCGACTTTCAACAAATCCGTCTAAAAACTCTCCTTAAGACTTATTTAAATTTGCATAAATGGTTAGAAGCATAAGGATAAAAACAAATTGGATAAGATAAAAAGAAGATAAAAAGACTAGGACCAATATACAATACCAATAATTATTTAAAATGATAATAATAAAAATACTAATAAAAGGTAAAACATTTATCTTTTTAAAATTAGTCAATAAACTTTTAATTATTTAAAAAGTATAATAATAAAAAGACCAACAAAAAACAAAATGTTTATCTTTTCCACAATTATTTAATAACCTTCTAAGTATTTAAAAAGTAGTAGTCTACTTAAAAATCCAGAAAAGTTATTGAATCTATGTTTAAGATAACTGGCTCAATAAAGTTTCTTGAGAAAGAAGAGAAAATTTCTGAAAACAAAAAGACAATAAGTAAAACATTTATCAGAAGGAAGGANCTTTTGTATTTTTCCCACAACTTTCTGTCTCTCTCTCTCTCTTCATCCTCACCTACGCTCTCCTCTCTCTTTAATTTGAATATCTTGATCAACTTGCAGACGCGCATTGTATTTTTGTTTTCCATTTATCACTGTTTGTTACAAAACCCACCAAAGCCAAAACCTTTAGCTCTCCATCTTTGATTTCATCCATTTTCTTATTCTCTAATGCCCTTTTGATCAATCCGTCATTCCAGGTCTCTCTACAACTTGATTTTAGTTTGTTCACTTCTGGGGTTCTATTATTATTGTATATTTGCTTGGGGGTTGGGTTAAGTTTTTTCTTTTCGGGGTTGTGTTTCTTTTGGGATTTTTGTTTGTGTTGGTTGTAGATCTGTTGTGGGGTTGGTTTGAAATTTTGTGAATTTGTTGGTTGAGGTTAGGGTTTCGATTGTATTAATGGATAAAACAGTTTGCTCTGTTTAAGGTTTGCGTTTGATTTGCTTTTCGGATTGCCGAGGTTGCTACCTTCTGCATGCTCAAGAGAGGGTGTATTGGAATATGTGAAATTGTGAATCTTTCAAAATAAGTGTCTCGGATTTTCTTTTGTTCATGCATGTGTTGTTGTTGGTGTTGGCTTTGCAACTAACCCGTTTTTATTCTTTAGTATGTAAGGTTTGATGTGCGTGTGATGGTTTTCATGGGAAAACACCGGCGACATTGTTGGAAGCTGAGTCTAGTTGTGCGTTACTTTTGGCGAAGTTATTCTAATTTGATTGCTAGTGGTTTGGTTCGGAATTCTGATGATGGTCGAGTACTATTTCATGGCTGCAACATTGCATTTTTTCTTTTTGCTTCTAATGCACTATGTTTCAGAGGAAAACTTTCTTCCTTCTATCAAATGCTGAGTGCCACCGCAAAAAGCTAATAAACTATTTCCTTTTTGGATTTAACTTGGGCTATAAGCTCAAGGCCATCCAAAATGCTTTCTCGGATCAAACACAAGTTACTCATTGGTCGATCATGGGAGAAGTTAGATTCGTTAAATTACCCTCTTAAACTGTAAAATAATGGGGAGCCTGAGGGATGCACACAACTCTTGTCTTAGGCAGTTATCTGCATTTGAGTGAGATCATCAGGCTGCCTAATATATATATGTGTGTGTGTATATGTATATGTGTGTGTGTATGCATAGAGATTATCTATGATTGGATAGAATTTCCAACGTTATCATACCTCAAACATATGATAGAACTATCTTTCATAAGAGGTTGGAATCACTTGGAGGGTAATCATATTTTGGCTAGAATACATACCGTTTGTAGTTTTTATTTTGATTACTGAGTGTTAGGTTATTAGACTGTATATATCACACTTCGATGCCAGGGAGGTAGGCACTTTTTACAGGGTACGCAGGTGTTGTATCTGAGATTGACTTTAAAAGGATGTCTCAATGTGATTTCTTTCATCAATGGACAAGAAGATAGATACAAAATTTGGATTGGTATATTAAATAAAAGATCATCTTAGAAAGCTAATGTTAATGAAGGGGACAATTTTTAATGGGTTATTTGTTTTTTGTCAGTTTATACTTGCCATCTTTTGACTATGAAGCCAGTTCAACGACCCAAGCCTACAAAGTTCCACCTGGCCTTGTTAATTAACTTTCTTTTTGCTTTTTTTATTTTCTGGATTTTCGTTGGCTTATTTATTTGTGCCTAGTCATAGCTGTTTTAGCATAACTATGCATCAAATTTTCATTTTTAAATAAGTGCATACAGTCACACTGTCATTTCTTTTGATCAATTGATATTGAGTCTGCTACGTGTATTGGAGGCTTCTTTTTATATTGTCAATTCTGCCAATATATTCATCTTTCTGTAATTTCTGACAAATTTATGTGGTTCCTCTTGTTCCTAGTCCTATGAGCAGAGGACAACTTAATATAGCTGTGTTTATGTTTAAATATTGTAATGAAAAGGGTTTATACATGGCTTCATACATGATGATTTTACTCAATTTGAGTGCCACAATCTTAGAAAGGGGTTGTGCGGACCACTCTGGCCTTGAATGACTACATGTGTTTCTTACGTTATTTTTTCATACTTTGTTTTCTCTAATATTCATAGAAATTAGACCTGAACGTGGTTTGAAAACCTTTCATATGTCTATTCTGTTAATCAAGATTTGTTATGGTTTCCATATTCAGTTTTTATTTCATTGATTTTTTCTCTCTCAATGCAAACTTGTACATAATAATATTTGTAAACTTGGAAAGATTTTGTTGTTCTGTTCATTTGGAAGTGTAAATTTCATTTTATTATCAAGGTATTTTTCTATTCATATAAGGGATAGCCTGATAATGGAGTTGGGAGATCAAACAAGACATTATCCAAAGCAATCAATAAAGATCTTTATTTAAATTGCTTGCTGAAAATTTGGATATTTACAATACACAATGGCTTTATTTTATCCATGTAGTTGACTCCAACATCTAGTGATGATATTTTTGTACATGATCAGGGTAGCGTGAATAAGGATCTGCATCCATAAATAACTAACTAGACGAATCTTTTTAAACTATTGTGTTAACTTTTCAGCTTTTAAAATGTTAATGAGTAATTATCTGTCTGGTGGAATGCATTTGAAAATTGTTTATCTTTTGGGCAAACTGTTCATATTATGCTAGGGTGATTTCATTTTGCAGGATGAGAAATTCTCAGTTGTTCGATATAAATGTGAATTTGAGAACTAATCAATTCTCTGAATGTGTTTTCGATGACAAATGCATATGTTTTTTTGCTGGTTGATGTGTTCTGTTTGCTTTCATAAGCCATTGAGTTTGTAAATTTGGTGTTAAAACTGGGTTTGATGGATGCCCTGATGTATCTTTAATCATATCAATGGAGCATCAGGGGAGGATGATAGCTTCACCCAAGAAAGATTCATGAAATGGTTGTTAGTGCTTTGTCTATAGATGTTAATTCAAAAATATAATATTATGTTTTTGATCCACCTTTAGTCAACACCAAGGGATAAAGCGGGTTTCCTTCTGTTGTTTGAATAAATTGGAGACTTGTGACTCAATAAGCTTAACTAGTTAGTCTATTTTAACTGTTTGGTGGAAGTAAAAGAGGAAAATACTATGTAGAATTTAGTTATTGCCTTTGTGATTGATTATTTCCCACCCACAGGGCAGCTGGTGATTGCTTTTGCTAGCATGGCATCAAGTAATTTATTCTTTGATGATATACGGAGCAAAGTTGATGTTGATCCTCCTCAAAATGAAGAGTCAACAGATGTTGGTGAATTAGTAAATGATCCTGGACAAACTACACTTAAACCTAATGGTACTGTTTCAAGCAGTGTTCGTGAGCTTTTAGAGTGCCCTGTATGCTTGAATGCCATGTACCCTCCAATCCATCAGGTTGTTTATATATTGATGGCTTATTTTGTTGATTTGTTTTGGGTTCTTGTGAGAAAGCATGCAATTGTTACTAAAAAATACTGGGATGTTCAAAGTGGAATTTGATAAATTAATCACATTGACAAAGCATAATCATCTGATACTGGGTCCATGGAATGGTGTTACTGCTTATTAACAGGATTGAGCAAAAATAAAAAGGGAGTTCTCATTTTATTAGTAAGTTAACTAAAACAATGGTTCCTTTTGGTGTGCCATGAACAAAAAACTGAGTTTAAGGGGGCTGGTTTCCTCCTTCAAAAGTAACTATTTCCTTGCTCACCTAACTGATCTATTCTGAGAATGCTAGATGTTTTTTCTAGCAGGAACTCGGTCAAAATTTCTAAATGTAACTGTTTTTATATAATATTACCACATTGATGGTTTCAAATAAATTTTCTTTTGAAATTAAGTTGACCTATTTTCCTCTGTTACTATTGCAGTGTTCAAATGGTCACACAATATGCTCTGGTTGCAAACCCAGGGTCCATAACCGGTGCCCTACTTGTAGGCATGAGCTTGGCAATATCAGATGTCTGGCACTGGAGAAAGTGGCTGCATCTTTGGAACTTCCCTGTAAATATCAAGGTTTTGGGTGCATTGGTATATATCCATATTACAGCAAGCTAAAGCATGAATCACAATGTGCATATAGACCTTACAACTGTCCATATGCTGGTTCAGAATGCTCTATTATGGGTGATATACCCTACCTGGTGGCTCATCTGAAAGATGACCACAAAGTGGACATGCACAATGGTAGCACTTTCAACCATCGCTATGTCAAATCAAATCCACATGAAGTTGAAAATGCCACATGGATGTTGACGGTATTATTTTTCAGAACCTTGTTCTACCTGCATTCCTTTGATTTCGTAAATTCACTATAGTGTCTAACCATATGGTTGGTATTCAGACTGTGTAAATTTGGAACATGTTTGGATGTAATTGTGTCTCTCTTCATCAGTTGTTTATGAGTAGAGTGATTTAGCAAACCTTTCATTTGCTTAAAAAAGAAACACCCAATATTGCAAATACTGGAACATATTGAAGCTACGGTTATTTAATTTGTATAATCAATGATAAAATTAAATGTGTTCTCTCATAATTTATTTCTATACAGAAATTGGAATTTAGCTGACTAATCATTTCTCATTGGTTTCTAGGTCTTCAGCTGTTTTGGTCAGTATTTTTGTCTACATTTTGAAGCTTTTCAGCTTGGAATGGCTCCTGTCTACATAGCCTTTTTGCGGTTCATGGGTGATGATAATGAAGCAAAGAATTATAGCTATAGTTTAGATGTAGGTGGGAATGGGAGGAAGATGATTTGGCAGGGTGTGCCAAGAAGCATCAGGGACAGCCACCGCAAGGTTCGTGACAGTTTTGATGGTCTCATCATTCAGAGAAATATGGCCCTTTTCTTTTCTGGCGGTGACAGGAAGGAGTTGAAGTTAAGGGTTACTGGTAGGATTTGGAAAGAACAATGAATGGATAGGAGATGATGTCCTTCAACTATCAATGATATTTAGGCCAATAGTTTGTAGTGCAAAGTCGTTTCTTGTAGTGATATGTACCTTCTGGTCATGTAATTGTCTTTTGCAACTTAGGAGGCAAACTCTCTTTGCTTATCCTCACATCAAGTACATGAACAGGAAGTTGTACATCGTATCATTATGATAATAGAGATGTAGAACCTTAATTTGCTCTCTCTGTCTGTCTCTCTCTCTATATATATATATATATCTATTCATAGCTACGATTAAGAACATAAAAAATAGTGTTTATATTTGTTTTACAGCTTGGCGCATAACCACTTAATGCGTTTTGTTAATTCGTAGTTGCCATATTTGCTAATTTGCAGCACATCTAACTTTGTTTTGATAATTTGAAAACAACGTCTAGCTTGCATTTCTACTTAAATCCAAGTATATGTGCAATCTTTCTAGTTTCAGTTGTTGTCATTGGTTGGTGTGTAGTTATTTACAAAATGATTAATCGATGGCACAGTGCTTGAGTATGAAGACAAAATTAATAATCCAATCTTGCATTCGACTTAAATATATCATAGGCTTGCTGCATCAAATTGAATAATGGTTTCGTCAAACCCCTAATAATCTTATTCCACAAGTTCAACATTAGTTTGGTCCCATTAAAGAAGAAAAAGATGTACAAAATTAAGGTGAAATGCAGTTTTCAACCCATTACAATAATCCATGAGATTGCAGTTTTCAACCCATTACAATAATCCATGAGATTGCAGTGAATGGTATACATTAGTTCGGTCCCATTAAAGAATAAAAAGATGTGAAAAATTATTGTGAAATGAAGTATTTTCAACCTATTACATGCTGAGAAAAATCATAAAATGAAGCACTTCAGGCAAAGATCAGCAGAACAGCAAATACTTTTTTCTAGCCAAAAATGGGAACGGGGAAGAAAATTAAACTCCAGTGCTGCATTCAGCTTTGGAAGTTACCTATATACTATGGTGAAATGAAATACATCCTATGAACAAGTAGGATTCTTCTTCCTAACTATGCACTTGGCATCATCCAATTAGTCTGAGAATACAGGCTTCAGCTGCACTTGGTCAAATATGCATTCCATCCTTGAAGACGATATTCACGAGCTGCATGACTCGGATTTTTGGCCTTGATGATGCCACGACCCACTATGATAATGTCACTACCTCTTTCATAGATAACCTGGAAAAAACCATTTGGTTATCAAGAAGCAATAAGCTCAAATGAAAGAAGAGTATTCAACTATGAAGCACTGACTCCCACATGGCAATCAAATGACCTGTAGACACATATCTTTACAACACAAAGGAGCATGAGACAATATCAGATCCTCTTAAGTGGAAAAAGAAAACTTGGACATGGTCAAATGTCATGATCTCACCATTTATTCTTTTGAACATCAACTTTAAGTATTGTGTTAATAAAATTTATTGAAGGTCTAAGATATCATGTGGTAAAGTCACTGCAGAGATCCATACCCAAGGAGCAGAAAGAAGTGGAAAGAAATATAGCATTGATGCATTTTCAGCACATGAATATTAAGGGGTGAATGGTTGTCTTTGCTGAAGCTGGAGAGACAAATGAGCTTGCCAAGAAGACAATATAGTAAAAACTCTTGTTATCGTATCTGCTTGCAAGAGACAGACTATTCACCCTCCCTCTCCAGTTCCCTATATACTTTTTCTCAAAAAAACTATTCTAAACCAAGGAAAAGAATGAAAGATCAACCATGTTAAAAGTAAAGTACTTTAGGCATGTTATATAACACTTCTCATAAACCATTAACCATTTTTCACCTATCATGTCGTTAACTTATGCAAATGACTAAAAGATACACACTACATGCATACACTTACAGAATATGGCGTGTTATATTGCTGCCCTAAAGCATCACCACCAATCACCATTTGAACTCCAGGCGTTGCATGAATGAAAGAGGGATTTACAGGTGCTCCAGGCCATGATCCTGGATTGACTGAGATGAAGCCAATGACAAAGTCAGAATGATCCTCAGCAATTTTCACTGCAGCAGTGATGTAATCTCCCTTGGCAAGGTTACCACTTGAACTCATTTCAGCAAGCAGCAAAAGACCCCTTCCACGAGGCAAACCCTAAGTATATTCATGAGACATGTTAGGCTAGTATTTTGGTGTGGCTACAGTTAATATAACGTTAATACTAGAGCATAGACCTTCAACTTCAGTCCTTCTACAATTCCAGGACCAGATATAATGTGAGCATTTACTATGTCAGCCCAATCCAATATATGGAAGATCCCGCTGCAGATATCAGATCATATATAAGTCATTAAAAGCAGAAACAGAAGAAATAATACTGAAAAGAATCCAAAATAGATCTTACCCTTCATACTGCATGGTCACTGTGTTACCAATATCAGCAAACTTACGATCCTCAAATATTAAGAAGTTATGTTTTTCTGCAATCTTCAACAGAAAAACAAGCATAAATAGAAACAACTAAACCAGAAGTATACAAGATTCCTGAAAACTCACTAAATGTGATACTCATACATATAAGGTCAAAGTCACGACTTCGGACTCCAATTTCAATAAATATTGACAAATCTACTTCCATCTATAAATCCTGACAAAATGAAGATGCAAAAATTTGTTCTGCACTGCTTAAAAGAAAAAAGGGGCTTCTTTAGTACTGTACCGAGCGAAGCTTAGAACCAAAATCAGGGGTGAAATCTGGTAAAATATCCACATGTGTCTTCAGCAAGCATATCTCAGGTCCAACCTGACAGGAAAGAACAGCCAAATTAGTTGAAGTAATTTATTTGTCAGGACTAAACTTCTAACCATAAGTTTACTATCTCACTGATGATGACCATAATCCAGAGAACAGGACTCTCATAAGAATTCTCGACCCTTTTTTAAATTAATAACCAACTTTAACATTGTCACTGCTAATTCGAGATCAAACAAAATGCCATGCACTAGTTTAAACATTTTCCCATTTTGGACAATTGCCAAGTTCTTCTTTACCTTGTCAGCGATTTCAAGTAATTCAGCAGCAGTTGCAACATCTGCAGCCAAACACAAATTACTCTCCTTCTCAGCCATTATCTCAAACAACCTCTTTCCTGTCGGATTCTTGGACAATTTAGCCCTTTCCAATAATGGAAAGGCATTGAACTTAGTTCTTGTTGCCAAAGCAACAATCTTTTGATTCTCTTCTAAGAATCTCATAACAACCTCTAGCATCTGCTCATTAAGCTTTCCTTTTTCACTCAAAATTTTCACCATTTCAGTCAACTTAAGAATTGCATGCAGCTTGATTCCGTTATTCTCAAGATTCTCTTTTCCGCCTTGCTCTCTATCAATCAAAACAACAGCATCACTGACCTTCAACCCTGCAGAACGCAGTGGGGCAGCAGTTTCCAAAATTGAAGTGCCACTTGTAACTAGATCCTCAATTATCAAGCAACTTTGACCTTGCTTGAAATCACCTTCAATGGCTTTAGAAGTGCCATAATCTTTTACTTCCTTGCGGCGCATGACCATGGGGATGTTCTGAGTAGCGGAGACACAGGTGGCAAAGGGAAGAGCAGTGTAAGGGACACCACAGACAAGGTCAAATGAAGTGGAAGAGACAGAAGAAATGAGGGTCTGAGAAACTTTCCGGAGGACAGAAGGGTAAGATATAACAAGGCGGAGGTCTATGTAGATTGGTGAGGATATGCCAGATTTCAGCTTGAAATTACCAAATTTCACAGCTGATATTTCATGAAGTTGAAGAATTAGAGACTCCATTTTTCTCCTTTCTCAGTCTACTTCAAGGTTTGTTTTAGACCTTAGGGATAACCTGCGGAATTCAGTAATCAACATCTTAAATTAATTCTTTTTATAGACATACTCGAGTACATGATCAGAATCGTTTCTCTTAGCTTAACAGTAGCATATATTTAATCATAATATTCCTTACAGCTCACACATCATAGATTACATCACAGAAGCAGACAATTCTCACACAGCACATAGAAAACAGAATAACTCAAGAACTAAGTTAATTACTTAAAGTGTTAGTGACCAACACAAGGAATTTAGAATGAAACTTTCACAACTAGTGCATGACAACCTTACACTTAAGATGACGAATCTGCATCCATTGTCTCGTGCCCTAGACAGACAGAATCTAACCTACCTGATTCACACTCTGCTACGCCTTATACATGAACCATATACATCGTATGTACTCTAGAAGCTGCTGTATATATAGAACCTATATATCTCATAATGTGACTATATGAATCATAACAAAGCGGATTACTAGTTACTAAAAAGGCTGCCGAAACCATATCTCAATCAATAACAGAAGCACACCAGATTTTATAAAACCAAGATTTAAGAAAGATAACATGTAAAAATGTGAATTTTAAACTTAACCTTATAAAAATTAAAGTTTGCATCAACATATATATATATATATATATATATATATATATTCTAAATACTCTAAATTCATCTTGATGTAGAACTTTCCAACATAACCAACTTTTAAAATACACTTGAATTACAAAACAATCAAAAATGAAAAAAAATAACAAACAAACAGAAAAAGTCGTATAACATTTCAATCAAATCTAAAAGAAAAAAAAAATCCCTCAATCACTGAGATGCAATTATATTTCTGGTTCCCAAAGTTTCCTTCTTCAAAGGCAATATGCATCTCTTGACAAATATTTGGAGTTGGGTTAGTTACATTATGAAAGACCAAGTCCTTCTCCTAAACCCAATCTCTGTTAGGTTTAACGCAATCAGAAGGAAGCATAATTCCATGGCACCCAAAAAACAAACTCAATTTAAACATCTGCACTATTCGAGAAACAAAATCAATTCAATAAACTGGAAATGCAGCAACCCAGATTCCACAAAACAAAAATTTTATGCAGAATCAATCAAAGACATCTAAAGGGTCAATGTCCTCTAACCCCTTAAAAAAGCTCCTGAAACTTCAATGACCTTATCAACAATAACGATTCAACCAAACCCCAGTGAAATGCTGCAACTCAAAGAACATGTGATACAAACAGCAACATTTAAGTCTAATCCTTCAAACGATAGAACCTCACTGAGAGGAGAGAAATTGACGTGTTTGTGTGTGGTGTTACATTTGGTTTTGGGCTGCACCACTTTCATTGGGTGGGTAGTGTTGTTGCAGATGTTAATACTAGACAATCACAGTACCAAAATGACATAATTTCCAACTTCCATAGTTCAATGATTTATGACGCTTTGTTACTACTTATTGGAGATAATTTTTAAATTTTGTTTTCAAGTTCGAATTTTTTTCGTCGGTTTTGCGAGAATAAGATTCGTTATTGATTTGATTCAATTTGCTAACATCCTCAATCTCATCATATAAAGAATCAAACTTTAATCATATATACCAATATATGTTTACTATGTATGTTTATTTTGAATGACCAATAAAAAAATCACATGCATAAATTAATTTTTTTTTAAGTGAAATTGATAATTATAATTAGTTTTATAATATTATTTCATGTTAGTGTCTAAATGTGAATATTTTTATATATAATATTGTATAATTATTTTATTAAACAAAATCTCTATAATTTATATTTATGTATTTTAATGAATTACTTTGTAAGTTTTTAATGATTACTCTCTTGATATTAAAAATTTTATAATAAAGAAACCTCTAAACAAAAACAAATTTAATTTGATTGAGCCACTTTGATATTAATATTTTAAAAAAATAGATTAATGTGATGGTTGATTTAACTTTAGTTTTCTCAATAACTGATTATTGGTATCAATTCAACATATCCATGTATGTTTTTTCTAATAATTCTTTTATCAAATAAAAAGAATAAGTACATATAATATATATATATATATATATAATTTTAAAATATAATTACAAGTAAAATAGAAATATGAAATTTTTATCTTGCAGTATTATAAATGAAGATAGACAACATGTCGTATTCATGTTCTGTAGTTGGTGTGTGAAAAAAGTTAATTATATGTTAATTTATAGAAAAGAACAAAAAAGAAGCTTCGTTACCTAGTATCTATAGGAAATTCCATGTCATATTACTAAAGAATTTACATATTTGTCAAGAATTATAGAGTTTGTTACAAAAGAAAGATAATTCTGATCTGTCTTGTTTCCCCTGAAATCTTTGATTTGTTGCAACCCCAAAAACTATCACATTTGGCTGGCAAATTGAGTTTTCAAGTTTTTATCTTTTCCTCTTCAATGCACATTTCTCAAAATTTCGAGCTTTCACCTTCAATAGTCGTCAAAAACCAATTTTCTCGAAGACCCTTTTGAACATTTTCAGACTCGAGGGTATGTTATTTCACAAGCCCATTAATTGAATATGAGATATATGTTTGATTTAGCCATTTGTTTTTGAACCCATTCTGGTTTGTTGCAATGCAGGAATCGTTGTTGCCTTCTTCTTAGTGCTGAAAATTTAAGAGCAGAAAGATACATTCTGATATGTAAGAATTTATATTCAAAATAGCTGTTTCTTTTTATTCCCTAAATGGCTATGCCATTGCAATTTGCAATCTCCTTGCCACCATTTATGTTTATTCATTTGGGTTTGCAAATGGCATGTTGAACCTGATCAGATGTAATATATGTTATGCCATGTATTTGAATGCAGAGAAAAAACTGCCATATGGCTGGTGACAGATTGTAGCACCACATTTTCCTTTGGGTTTCAAATATTGAAGGCCAGATATGTCTGTGCAGGATGAAAATTCTGATACAAAAGAAGTAATATGTAAGAGTTTTTAATCCCTTTTTTCTTCCTCCCCCAGAGAAACACAATAATCAAATGATGGATTTTGTACACCAGAAGAATACATTCATCAGCACCATTGAATCATTTCGTTCAATTTACTCATTCCCCCGTGTTGGGAAAAATCTTTTACAACGAACCACATGTTGAATCGTTCTGATTTTCTGAGGATATAGTAGATACTTATGATGTTAAGATTTGTACCATGTCTTTACACCTAAATAAAGCATGAAGACAGGTCTTTTTTCAAAGCATGTCTTCTTGCAACCAAACATTAGATACTAGGTGGTTTTGAAGACTTCTTTTTGATGACTTGTAAACATAGCTCGGTCAGGTTAACACAATAAGATGTTAAGTAGTCTTAGCACTCATTGGTGATTAGATATAATATGATACAAGGATTTAGAGAATAATGATAAGATAAGGACAGGCTAAACATTAGCTAATGATGATAGTGACAATGATGACAATAATAAAAGGGAAGTGATAGCGATAATGATGTTGATGATGGTGGTGATAATGACAATAATAATAATGAGATGATGGTAGTGGTGACAACGACGGTGAGAATAATAAGTTTTTCTTATATTGGTTCGTCTTGACCATCGAGACTAGTCCATTCTTAAAAACTTCCAAGTTTCATTAGGATCAAACCTTGCAAAAAGTGATTTTGATGTTTCTGTTGGATTGAGTGAAAGATTCTGGGTTGCTAACAAATGCATATAGTGAATTACATAACTGCAGAATTTCTGACAATAGAATGCAGAATCATGAATTACTTAATATGATCAGAGAATTTCTGACAAAAGACGATTAATGATCCTAGACTAGTGATTTTATTAACACTTAAAGAAGATTATTTGTATGTACAGTATTTATAAATAGTTTGTCCTATCAGCAGGGTTCAATTTAAATTAACGATACTTAACCCCTCATGCCTCTTTACTTGATTAGTTCAGCTTATATCTTATTCCTCTTCATTATATTTACCAATTACTAGGTCCCCAGAGAAGGCTAACAAATCTGATGCATCATGGTGGGAACAAGTTCTGCGCTGATTGCGGAACTCCAGAGCCAAAATGGGTGTAAGTATTTGCCTGAATTTTCATAGGAATGTAGTTTCCTGGATTTTTTATCTCAGTTTTATTTATCAGTCATAGATCTTGAACTGAATGTTGCTTCAGTGTCTTTACAAAAAAAAAAAAAAAGAATTGTGCACCAATCAGAAATATGGTGGATTTGCAGAACTATTTGAAATGAATAGGCTCAAAATATTAGAACATATGTACCAAATGATTTGGAGCTTATAAGCTTTGACAATGCAATGATGTATTCATAGTTCAGTGAAAAGTTAGTCATATCATAAAATTATTAGCTCATTACACTATTCGTACTTGTTTTGTGTGATGAATTTGTTAAACATCAGATCTTCGAGTCTTGGAGTATTTATTTGCATCAAGTGTTCTGGCATACACAGAAGTCTAGGAGTCCACATATCAAAGGTATGTTTCCAACAAAACTTTTAAAATAACTTCTCAGTAACAGTCATATACATTTATCTTTGAGGTTGGGATTCACAATGAATATAACATGCATACATAGTTATGTTAAAATTGCATATTCACTATTTGCAGCTCTCTTAGAAACATGGGAGGGGTGTTCCATTGTGCGTGCATAGCTGCAACACTGCAAAATGAAATTCTAACATTGTTTGAAGCTGTTATAGGTTCTATCGTTGAAGCTAGATGAATGGACAGATGAACAAGTTGATGCATTAGCAAAATTAGGAGGAAATACACTATTAAACAAGAAGTATGAAGCTTGCCTCCCAAGTAACATGAGAAAACCAAAACCACATTCTTCCATTGAAGAGCGCTCTGAATATATTCGGTAACTGAAGTGAAGCCAAATTTTTCTTTTTTTCTTCGTTTTTTTGATGAATTACACCATTCTTATTCAGAAATGGCCTATTTGATTTTCCTTTTCAGGAGAAAATATGAGTTCCAACAGTTTATGGGGTGTGATGACAATGTGGCAGGCCCCATTATCCCATCTCAAGGAAGAAGTGTATCACTTGCTCAGTGCAGCTCTTCATACTATCATGCTCTTATGGACAAAAAACCATCTGAAAGATTTCCAGGCAAAACTCGAATTGGGAATGCATTCCGAAATAGTTGGGGAAGAAAAGATTCTGAGCACAAGTCAAAGAAAAGTACCTCATTGGTAACCTTTCCTTTGACTAATGCTAGTTCTATCAGCCATCTCTTAAATGAACATAAAAAATTACTTTTTGAGCCAGTTGATGCGACATAGTGTGCCACACATACTAAATTTTTATGTTGTTTTTTGCTCCCCATGCTCCAATTCTAGTCAAAAGGTGGGAGGAATGAGTTTCATGCTCTATATTCTGGAAAATATTTATAATCCAGCAGGGTCTTTGCCTTTTTATTATTCATACAAATTTCTTGAGTATAAAATTTGTTATGTTTATGAAGAAAAATGAAGAGAAAAATGGTGAGGAACAGGGATAACTCACCATCTATCATTTTCACTGTAGTAAGAACACATGAAAAAGAAAGAAGAAAGACAAATTGAATGGCGATATGCTTTGTTGAAAAGAAGAATCTAAATATGCTTGTATTATTATTTTCTATGAGAGGAAAAAATTGTTCTGATAAAACACTATATTTCTCTAAAATTATGTTTGTTAGTCTGTCATATGATAAAAAGTATACCCTATACAAGAATCAGTTTTTGGGAACTGCAACATTGGGTTTTAACACATATTTACCTTATGTGCTCTTAACTTCAGAACCATATCAACAAGTATATCAGAATAAAAGAATTATTAAAATGTGAAGCATACTTTTCTGTGTCTTGTTCTGAATAGAGAAATGTTGGAACTTCTTTTTTTCTAAATACTTAATCTTGTTGCTCCCATTTACTGTTATAGGCAGGTATGGTTGAATTTGTTGGGTTGATTAAGGTTAATGTTGTTAGAGGCACTCACCTAGCTGTTCGAGACGTAATGACTAGTGACCCTTATGTCATCCTTTCTTTGGGACACCAAGTGAGCATCTTATCTGTGAGCTAGTTTAAAATATAGATGGAAAGGAGAAAAAATTGTGAAATACTTGTTATATTTGTTGTTGCAGTCAGTAAAAACACGAGTCATAAAGAACAATTTAAATCCAGTGTGGAATGAAAGTCTAATGCTTTCAATTCCAGAGAACATTCCTCCTCTAAAAGTGGTAAGTTCGTTCATTTTCTCACTTTCTGCTAATCATAAATGGTTGCTATTTGTGTTTGTGCTCTTGTACCATAATCATATTTGTACTAGTAAAACAGTAACAATCTCATGAATGTGCAGAATATATTTTGAGACTTCATATACAATTATTTTAGTAACTGATCAATTTAATTCCTGCAACACTAATATTCATTCTTTCTCATTTCCCCCTAAACTTGGAACATGGCTTCACAAGATTACTGTAAGGTTAAATATCTTTTTAGTCCTTAAACTTTGATGTAAAATTGAAATTCATCCTTATTATAAACTTTAATATAATTTGGTTTCTAAACTTAAAAAATGAATAAATGTAGTCCTACTAATCCAAATACATTAAATTTTTTTGTGTCAAATGCATTTTAGGCTTACATATGAATTGTTTACATGGTTTGATACGTTTCAGCTTAAATGTTATCTTGGAAAGTCATTTAACCGTCCAAAAAGTTAATNATATATATATATATATATAATTTTAAAATATAATTACAAGTAAAATAGAAATATGAAATTTTTATCTTGCAGTATTATAAATGAAGATAGACAACATGTCGTATTCATGTTCTGTAGTTGGTGTGTGAAAAAAGTTAATTATATGTTAATTTATAGAAAAGAACAAAAAAGAAGCTTCGTTACCTAGTATCTATAGGAAATTCCATGTCATATTACTAAAGAATTTACATATTTGTCAAGAATTATAGAGTTTGTTACAAAAGAAAGATAATTCTGATCTGTCTTGTTTCCCCTGAAATCTTTGATTTGTTGCAACCCCAAAAACTATCACATTTGGCTGGCAAATTGAGTTTTCAAGTTTTTATCTTTTCCTCTTCAATGCACATTTCTCAAAGTTTCGAGCTTTCACCTTCAATAGTCGTCAAAAACCAATTTTCTCGAAGACCCTTTTGAACATTTTCAGACTCGAGGGTATGTTATTTCACAAGCCCATTAATTGAATATGAGATATATGTTTGATTTAGCCATTTGTTTTTGAACCCATTCTGGTTTGTTGCAATGCAGGAATCGTTGTTGCCTTCTTCTTAGTGCTGAAAATTTAAGAGCAGAAAGATACATTCTGCTATGTAAGAATTTATATTCAAAATAGCTGTTTCTTTTTATTCCCTAAATGGCTATGCCATTGCAATTTGCAATCTCTTTGCCACCATTTATGTTTATTCATTTGGGTTTGCAAATGGCATGTTGAACCTGATCAGATGTAATATATGTTATGCCATGTATTTGAATGCAGAGAAAAAACTGCCATATGGCTGGTGACAGATTGTAGCACCACATTTTCCTTTGGGTTTCAAATATTGAAGGCCAGATATGTCTGTGCAGGATGAAAATTCTGATACAAAAGAAGTAATATGTAAGAGTTTTTAATCCCTTTTTTCTTCCTCCCCCAGAGAAACACAATAATCAAATGATGGATTTTGTACACCAGAAGAATACATTCACCAGCACCATTGAATCATTTCGTTCAATTTACTCATTCCCCCGTGTTGGGAAAAATCTTTTACAACGAACCACATGTTGAATCATTCTGATTTTCTGAGGATATAGTAGATACTTATGATGTTAAGATTTGTACCATGTCTTTACACCTAAATAAAGCATGGAGACAGGTCTTTTTTCAAAGCATGTCTTCTTGCAACCAAACATTAGATACTAGGTGGTTTTGAAGACTTCTTTTTGATGACTTGTAAACATAGCTCGGTCAGGTTAACACAATAAGATGTTAAGTAGTCTTAGCACTCATTGGTGATTAGATATAATATGATACAAGGATTTAGAGAATAATGATAAGATAAGGACAGGCTAAACATTAGCTAATGATGATAGTGACAATGATGACAATAATAAAAGAGAAGTGATAGCGATAATGATGTTGATGATGGTGGTGATAATGACAATAATAATAATAATGAGATGATGGTAGTGGTGACAACGACGGTGAGAATAATAAGTTTTTCTTATATTGGTTCGTCTTGACCATCGAGACTAGTCCATTCTTAAAAACTTCCAAGTTTCATTAGGATCAAACCTTGCAAAAAGTGATTTTGATGTTTCTGTTGGATTGAGTGAAAGATTCTGGGTTGCTAACAAATGCATATAGTGAATTACATAACTGCAGAATTTCTGACAATAGAATGCAGAATCATGAATTACTTAATATGATCAGAGAATTTCTGACAAAAGACGATTAATGATCCTAGACTAGTGATTTTATTAACACTTAAAGAAGATTATTTGTATGTACAGTATTTATAAATAGTTTGTCCTATCAGCAGGGTTCAACTTAAATTAACGATACTTAACCCCTCATGCCTCTTTACTTGATTAGTTCAGCTTATATCTTATTCCTCTTCATTATATTTACCAATTACTAGGTCCCCAGAGAAGGCTAACAAATCTGATGCATCATGGTGGGAACAAGTTCTGCGCTGATTGCGGAACTCCAGAGCCAAAATGGGTGTAAGTATTTGCCTGAATTTTCATAGGAATGTAGTTTCCTGGATTTTTTATCTCAGTTTTATTTATCAGTCATAGATCTTGAACTGAATGTTGCTTCAGTGTCTTTACAAAAAAAAAAAAAAAAAAGAATTGTGCACCAATCAGAAATATGGTGGATTTGCAGAACTATTTGAAATGAATAGGCTCAAAATATTAGAACATATGTACCAAATGATTTGGAGCTTATAAGCTTTGACAATGCAATGATGTATTCATAGTTCAGTGAAAAGTTAGTCATATCATAAAATTATTAGCTCATTACACTATTCGTACTTGTTTTGTGTGATGAATTTGTTAAACATCAGATCTTCGAGTCTTGGAGTATTTATTTGCATCAAGTGTTCTGGCATACACAGAAGTCTAGGAGTCCACATATCAAAGGTATGTTTCCAACAAAACTTTTAAAATAACTTCTCAGTAACAGTCATATTCATTTATCTTTGAGGTTGGGATTCACAATGAATATAACATGCATACATAGTTATGTTAAAATTGCATATTCACTATTTGCAGCTCTCTTAGAAACATGGGAGGGGTGTTCCATTGTGCGTGCATAGCTGCAACACTGCAAAATGAAATTCTAACATTGTTTGAAGCTGTTATAGGTTCTATCGTTGAAGCTAGATGAATGGACAGATGAACAAGTTGATGCATTAGCAAAATTAGGAGGAAATACACTATTAAACAAGAAGTATGAAGCTTGCCTCCCAAGTAACATGAGAAAACCAAAACCACATTCTTCCATTGAAGAGCGCTCTGAATATATTCGGTAACTGAAGTGAAGCCAAATTTTTCTTTTTTTCTTCGTTTTTTTTATGAATTACACCATTCTTATTCAGAAATGGCCTATTTGATTTTCCTTTTCAGGAGAAAATATGAGTTCCAACAGTTTATGGGGTGTGATGACAATGTGGCAGGCCCCATTATCCCATCTCAAGGAAGAAGTGTATCACTTGCTCAGTGCAGCTCTTCATACTATCATGCTCTTATGGACAAAAAACCATCTGAAAGATTTCCAGGCAAAACTCGAATTGGGAATGCATTCCGAAATAGTTGGGGAAGAAAAGATTCTGAGCACAAGTCAAAGAAAAGTACCTCATTGGTAACCTTTCCTTTGACTAATGCTAGTTCTATCAGCCATCTCTTAAATGAACATAAAAAATTACTTTTTGAGCCAGTTGATGCGACATAGTGTGCCACACATACTAAATTTTTATGTTGTTTTTTGCTCCCCATGCTCCAATTCTAGTCAAAAGGTGGGAGGAATGAGTTTCATGCTCTATATTCTGTAAAATATTTATAATCCAGCAGGGTCTTTGCCTTTTTATTATTCATACAAATTTCTTGAGTATAAAATTTGTTATGTTTATGAAGAAAAATGAAGAGAAAAATGGTGAGGAACAGGGATAACTCACCATCTATCATTTTCACTGTAGTAAGAACACATGAAAAAGAAAGAAGAAAGACAAATTGAATGGCGATATGCTTTGTTGAAAAGAAGAATCTAAATATGCTTGTATTATTATTTTCTATGAGAGGAAAAAATTGTTCTGATAAAACACTATATTTCTCTAAAATTATGTTTGTTAGTCTGTCATATGATAAAAAGTATACCCTATACAAGAATCAGTTTTTGGGAACTGCAACATTGGGTTTTAACACATATTTACCTTATGTGCTCTTAACTTCAGAACCATATCAACAAGTATATCAGAATAAAAGAATTATTAAAATGTGAAGCATACTTTTCTGTGTCTTGTTCTGAATAGAGAAATGTTGGAACTTCTTTTTTTCTAAATACTTAATCTTGTTGCTCCCATTTACTGTTATAGGCAGGTATGGTTGAATTTGTTGGGTTGATTAAGGTTAATGTTGTTAGAGGCACTCACCTAGCTGTTCGAGACGTAATGACTAGTGACCCTTATGTCATCCTTTCTTTGGGACACCAAGTGAGCATCTTATCTGTGAGCTAGTTTAAAATATAGATGGAAAGGAGAAAAAATTGTGAAATACTTGTTATATTTGTTGTTGCAGTCAGTAAAAACACGAGTCATAAAGAACAATTTAAATCCAGTGTGGAATGAAAGTCTAATGCTTTCAATTCCAGAGAACATTCCTCCTCTAAAAGTGGTAAGTTCGTTCATTTTCTCACTTTCTGCTAATCATAAATGGTTGCTATTTGTGTTTGTGCTCTTGTACCATAATCATATTTGTACTAGTAAAACAGTAACAATCTCATGAATGTGCAGAATATATTTTGAGACTTCATATACAATTATTTTAGTAACTGATCAATTTAATTCCTGCAACACTAATATTCATTCTTTCTCATTTCCCCCTAAACTTGGAACATGGCTTCACAAGATTACTGTAAGGTTAAATATCTTTTTAGTCCTTAAACTTTGATGTTAAATTTAAATTTATCCTTATTATAAACTTTAATATAATTTGGTTTCTAAACTTAAAAAATGAATAAATGTAGTCCTACTAATCCAAATACATTAAATTTTTTTGTGTCAAATGCATTTTAGGCTTACATATGAATTGTTTACATGGTTTGATACGTTTCAGCTTAAATGTTATCTTGGAAAGTCATTTAACCGTCCAAAAAGTTAATACCGTTATGTTAAAAAGATTATATTTATTCACTTTTTAAGTTTGAAAACCAAAATATATCAAAATTTTTAATATAAAGGAATTTTTATTTCAATTCT